TTTTTTTTTAATGTTTTTTTATACCTGCCACTTAATTAGCTGCCCGGCTCACTGAGTTAAGCATGTAGTTTTATTTTTTAATGTTTTTTTTTTTTTTTTTAAATAAGATTTTTTTTATCTCTTTCAGACCTCTAAGAGACTTGACAATCCCCTCCTCTCAGGACAGACAGATGGGGCAGGTTCTGCCTTCAGGATGACACCAGGTAGTTTCACCCCGGCGAGGCAGGGCGAGCACCTCAGACCAGCAGCGTGGCCGAGGCTGCTTGTGGGGGTGCACCCAATGCAGCCGGGCAGCCCCGTTCAGGGGCTTGCAAGGTCTCGCTTCTCCACTGAGGAGGATGTGGCCAAAGCAATGGCACACTACTCTGCCCACGCCTGACGGGAAGGTACTGAAGTTTGGAAACCTGTGTGAAAATTGCGATCTTCCCCCTGTCTTAAAAGGCAGCTGTTTATTACCCAGAGCGAGTGCTATCTTGTAGACACCACTACATCTGCCACATACTTATCATAAGGCCACCTGAAGGAAAAATCACCTTACACTTATTTTAATTAACCACAACGAAGAAGAGCAGCCAAGCTTTAACATTACCTTTCAGAAGTAAGGGCATGAAGGGGATTTTCGGAGATTTCATTTTCTTGAATGCATCTCTGTAAGCTTTGTGATTCAGAGAAGGGTCCTACAAAACCATTTGGGTAATAGAGAGAAAAATCAATAGGCTATAAAAAGAGCAATTCTAAATCCATTACGGGCTTATGATCTGAACATGATTTAGATATAAAAGGCTTCTTCGGGAAACGAGGTAGATAGTTTTCTAAGCTAGGTGACTTACTAAACTGAACAGGAAATGTAAACAGTGAAAGGAACAAAAGCAATTACGTTCCTCTAGATGAAGCAGTGCTAAAATGGGAGTAAGCTGCAGAATATTCACTTGGACTGCTCTGTAATTTCCCCACAAATTTCTGTTAGCAAAAGCTCTTCAGCTTACTATCTAGCATAAAATGTATCCCAGAATGTATTGCTGATTAATTTCTTCTTTAAAAAAAAAAAAAATGAAAACAACAAAAAAAATCCCAACAAAAACTGCTCTCAGATCAATGGAAGATATCGGAGATTTTCAAAGAAAATAAGAGAGTATGTTTCAGTGGTGTCGTGTAAGTAATTCAAAAAGTCATCTCAATTTCCCATATAAATGAACATTTTTGTACACCAGCTCACACGCAATCTTGAAAACACATTAATTTATAAAGGACTCTAAGTACAGAAGCGTGACAGCCATTAAAGGCTGGATCTCATGTTCCCCGCGCCAGGCAGTGATCTCACCACGCACCCACTTCCATGACAGCCAGAGGAAACACTTGTTTATTCAGCTTTGATAATGGTGACAAAGACCCTTAGCCTCGGATTTTGATTTTTTTTTTTTTAAACTTCAGCTGTCCTCCTTTTCTCCCGATCCGCAGCATGTTGCTTTGGATCAAGGCTGATTAACCACCATAGCAAAAGAACAGCTTCCAAATTGATGCTGGGGAACCGACACTACATTCGCCTCTCTCTGTCCTTCCTCCAGCTGTCAGTAATATAGCCTTTTTCCTTTTCGTGTTTGGAGACCACTTCTGAGCTCTGGAGGGCTGCGTGGCCTTCGGCAAATCTGACATGACAAGTTCCAGCTCGAGACAATGACAGGCAGCCTCCAAATAAATTAGGAAGAAGGCAGGCAGGTAAAGACAGGCAATGCCGTTCTGCTGTCAACACCGTACTTACTGTCAAACTTTCAAGTTCAGTGAAAAGTTTCTTGAACTTCCCAGGAATTTTCTGAAGTGGAGAAAATAGAGAGAAAAAGAAAAAGTAAAGTTGATTTAAGAAAAAAAAAACGCATAGGCAGAAAAATGCTGAGGCTTTTTTTTCCCCATGAGACTGTCGCGTGTGAAGTGCCTGCTGTAAGTACCAACAGGCAGTTAACCTCCGCTCCTCAGCTCCAAGAGCCCTAATTACAGACCATGTTCAGTGTGATGCCAGCGAGGCACCAGACCCTGCAGCCTCACCTCGGGGGCCTGCATCAATCTTTTATGGAAACTGCTTGTTAGCACCTGTTTTTATTTCCTTCCCTAGCTTCCATGTCTGCTGCATTTACCCTAATATCCCTATCAGGTTAGAAATTGTAACACAGACTGAGAATTCAGAGAGTGTAATCACATCCAGGTTAAATCATTTGTTGTAATCACTCTTTGCCTAAAATATGAGTTCTAGAAATTAACAGGCGTAACGCTTCGTGCTGTTTGATACACCACACACCCAGTGCTGACCAGTGTTACTACTGGCACATGCTGGTGCCAGAAAAGAACTTTCCTTAAAAAACGGTTACTCCATCTCTGGTATCTCACCCTAATCCCACAGGGAGGTGCACAAAACACCTTCCAAGGGAGCCCAGGCATAAACTACCTTCTTGCCCCACATGCTAACACCTGCTCTGCTCCACGAGCATCCAGTTCCTTTATCTCTAAGATGCTTTAATGGATTCACCTCATTATACTCAAAGCAATCGTTCTTCAGTTTGAGTTTTGCTGCTGGTATTTAGGACTTGAAGAAGGATGCGTGCACCTTAAAGCCTGTCTATTTTTTCCAACCATACTAGCTAGTCTAGTAAAAGATATCCTCTCTTAGTACAAATCCTGTCTCGTCTTTGTCCTTAGATCCTGACAGCCACCAGGACACTACCAAGAGAAAAGAGATTTAGAACAATTAAGATTAAGTGGATGTGTTGTATGATTAAAATGCTAAAATAACTGAATGTGGAATTGCAATTGCACATTTTTAATATCTTAAATCAGGGAAAGTTAGGCTCATTAAAACACTGCACACTGTAGAAAAAAAAGTAGAGTATGCTTAGGAGCATATTACTTGTTTAAGAATTCAAGTGCAGAGCCAATATAATTTAGCGTCTAAATGGTTGCTTAAATTTAGGTGGCTTCATTTACATGTGTAATGTAAATGTAAATTAATTTATAAACATTGCTCTACTTTCTAGAAGTCACATTACTAATGCAAAAAACCTTCTGCTTTTGAAATTTCCAGTGCAGTAAAGTTTTACAAATAATTAAAAAAAAAAGCATGTGACTTCATAAATATTTTACACACAGAAATGGGACATATTTACAATGATACATATGCAGATGCACTCCTTGCTCAGACAAGCAATATATTCTGCTCTTCCTGAGAGAAGTCCACCAGCAGCACATAATCGTCGGAGAGGTCTCACCACACAGCTGAGTTCTGCATGTTTCTATGCGGGAGAGATCTACACCAATGCCACCGGGTGCCTTTGATACAATACTTAGCCCCTTCCACTCTCCTACCAAAGCCCAGAGAAATGAGATGAAGGCAACCCATAAGAGCAGGCAAGGGCAAATGTTCCCTAGTGGGCAAAGCATTTTAAAAGTAGGAGAGACAAAGGGTTTCTGTATCGTCGTCCTCAGGTATGTATGTTTTTTCTAAAATTTTTGCTTTACCTGTTATTTAAAGTTAGCTTCTCCTTGGCTGTCTGAGTCCCTGTAAACTCCTCCCTGCAGAAGCAGTCACTGTACCTGTTTCTCTGCGTGCCGAAACCACTGACATAGGCAGTGATGTTTCCATATGCATGATTTCAGCTAAGGGGGAACTTTGCTCTGGACGGTGTGTCAGATAGGTTTGTAAGTCTCTGATGGCCATTTGGTTTCAGCTGTTGGTGTTCAAGAGTATCTCCAAGGCAGGAGGTCACAGCCATTCTCTGTCACTTTGTATTACGGATTGATATTTTTTGAGTACTGCCCGCTTGTGGTGTTGGGGGCATGGGGGAGGGATGAAGCTTCACCCCATCACACTAAATTACTCCTTCCCCAATTTTTGGTTCATCAACAGATATAATAAGCTTGCAGATACTACCACTCAATAATTTACTTGGATGGAAAAAAAAAAATCCACAATATAAACACAGATCCCAGTGGGACCCTCCTCTAAACATCCCACGCTCTGTGCTCTGTCTAGCAACCCGTAGCTTCTTTAGCAGATAATCTGTTCTCCAGTATGCTCCTTATTCACGGCCCATTTCCTAACTTTGTTGTTCAAGATGAGCAGCTGCAAAAGAGCTGATAAAGGAGAATTAAAAAGGGTTTATTTCTACTTTGTATTTTTTTTAAATGAAATTATTCCATAATAAGGTATTGCTTGTACGGACGCTTTGGGTCAAGCCCTGGAAATACGGAATTAAATACAACCACGTTGGCCATGTAGGAAATAAAACACTCACTTTCTCTTGACAAGGACGTTGCTCCCAAGCACAGAGAGCAAGTCTGTGGCAGACTGTGGAAGACGCAAATGTATGTGGTTTTTTCCCGGCTTTTTTTTTTTTTTTTTTTTTTTTTTTAAAGAGGGTAAGATCTCCTTGCTTTGTTCTTATTTAAAAGCTCTGGAAGGACACATTTAGTTTTATTTGAATAGCTGTGTATCTAAGGTTTCAGGTCACAGAGAAGTTTCTCTACCAACACTCGCTCCCTGTTTGATTTCAGCATGAAAAAACAGTAATTAGAAAGAAAAGGTAATTCACCAGTATACAACCTTTGTGAGAAATGGTTTTGACACGGTCTAAAACATACAAAGATGTGTCTTACCTCCCAGGTCTGAGACAACCGGCTGACAGATGCAGTGTTGAGACCCATAACAATAGCAAAGAATGAATTCAGATTTCTTTGGGCTTTACAGCTGTGGAATAAAAATATAAACGTTGCATTCTGATTTTTTGTACTCAGAATCAGAGATAAATGGAACGCACAGGTATCTTAGGTTACTGAGTCCCATTTCAACCCTCAGCACTAACACACAATCATCTTCCACATAATGAACTCGTTAAATGTCCTCTCATGACCACCTGCAGTCTAGGTGATGGGGTTTCTAAGAAGTTTTTTAGCAAAAGTTCTACTGTCTCATCAACCCTGTTGTTGGCAGGTTATTTTTTTTCCTTTGCTGTCAAAAGTAATTTTCCCTTTTCAACGTTCAAGTTACTCTCAGCTGTCCTTTACCATACAGAAAAATTCCTTGACCTCTATTCTGTTGTATTATAAATATTTTCATCTCCTTTTTCATCTTTTCTATAAATTGTACATCATTGGTTCCTTCAATTTCTCTCTGCGGTCATGGCCTGCAATCCACTTTTCCATATTGTTATTATCTTTCATTGAATTCTTTGTAATTTATTTTAACTTTTCTCTCACGCATTTCCTTCTTATCAAGGAGATGTAGTGAGACAGTGGGAAGGGAAGGAGAAACATAATTACTGTTTTGGATCTAAGTTCTTACACCTTTCTCCTATGCAAGTATAAAACAAATATCAAATTATTTATTTGGAACAGCATCACGCTTTGTCCTTGCCTTTAATTTGTCATCTATTATCACCCAAGGACCTTTGTCACAGTACTGTTCTTTACAATCATGCATTTATTTCTTCAGCTCAGTATTAGCATTCCCTAGCTGAATTACTCTGCATCTATCTAAATTAAATCTTATCCTACTGTTGTTTGCACATGCCACCAGACTCCTTAGATCATTCTTTTTTTTTCTATCCTCCAATGCATTTGCAATCCCTCATCATTTTTATTGTCTGAAAAATCTGATTAATGTTCAGTTTACATATCCCTATAAATTAGTTGCAGTTAGCACTGGTTCCAATACAGGTCCCTGTGGAATTTGCTTGATACCTCTATTTTTGACATTTTACTATATATGATCAGACCCTTCTTATTTCTAGTCCATGAGGAAATTTGAAATCCTGAAATATCGAGTCCTTTTCAAACAACAAGATTCCACTTTCTCTTGCAGATTCTTGAAGACCACTATAAACATACATGTGCGTGTGTGTGAGAGTGAGAGAGAGAATCCTCTTCTAAGGTAATTTTAAGTATGAGTGAATCCACTGCCTTCACTGGGATTTATCATCAGGGAGAAGTATGTGCCAAAGCCTTAGACTGGAAACACACCAGCACTTGTTACAAGTTTTATAAAGCTTGCACTCATCGCTGTGTACTATCTTGAGACAGTGTATTTCTCACTTCACTTCAGCTGTCTTAAAGTTAATCCTAACTTCGTTGCTTAGACTTCTTTTATCGTTAAAGTCAGGCAGCTCCCAAAGGTAATTCACTCCGAAACAAGAAAGGTGTCCAGCACAGCTCAGATAAAGTGACTATTGGATGGGCCCACTTCTCACAAAGAACTGTAGAGGGAAGGTACATCTTTTACAGTCAGTCACTGCTTGGGAAGCAAGACTGCTGTTGTAATCCATTTATTCTAACCCTGTGTTGACCTGTTTCTGTAACTCCTCAGGATGTTCATTTCTAACGACATGCTAATCCATTTTCTCTATCAAATCACTCGTTTACTATTTCAGACTAGCTCATCAACAGAAGCGTTAGGTACCCATGTTTCAAAAACTCTGCCTCTCCTTTATGTATTGGCACACTGTGTAAAAGCCTTCCATCTTCTTCAGGTGTTCCTCAACAGTGAAGCACACAAACGTTGAACGTGAAATCTTAAGTCCTGGGGCTTTCCTGACAAGCTGAAAGTCAGAGACACAGACTCCTGGCCCAATCTAGGAGCAGAGAACAGGGAGCAGCCAGAGCGGCTCACAGCTCCCTACCTCTCTGCCTTAGTCATAAACGAAACAGCAGGGCTGCTTGGCTTGTGCCTCATGATGAGAGTCCTGTGCTTAGCATACCATCCCTCCACCCTAACTGTTCCTCTTTCATCAACTCTTCCAGAATCGATGAGATATGATAATGCTTCTTTTAGAAAGCTGTTTTTCTGATTAAAAAAAGTTCCCAAGCAAACTACACACTCACTTATTTGTGTATCCATTATTTCACAATCTACATGCCACGATGATGGGTGCTTCTGCAATGCACTGGGAGAGCCTGTCTATTGTTTACTGACAACTGTATTTAGTCTCCACAACTTTTTCACTTAACAGAGATGGAATTAATTCAAATAGAGCAACATTTTAGTCTGGTGACAAATATATCCCTATTCATGTGGGACAGACATGAAGCTTTTCTTGGAAGGCAAATTAATGCTACTGTGGTGCAAGCAAGGCACGCAGAACCAACCGTTTTTGACGTAATTGGACCAAACTTGGCCATTGATAAGGCAGAAAATGAGCGTATTACTGGATACCATAAACTTGCAAACTAAATCAAATCACATTTATGAGTTACACTAGATTAGATTAGATTAGAAGAATTCATTTCACCAAAGGCACTGCTTCAGCAGAGAACAGTCCTTTCTATGTAAGTGCCTTGCAAATTAAATCAACCCAGTCGATGAAGGGAACAAATTATACATTTTCCATGAACATGCATATTCAAATATTGCAGAAGACGAACAAGTGGAGAAAGAGACAAGGAGAATGGTTGCACATATTTAAATTGCTCCATTCCCTTGGTTACTAAAGTAAGAGTGATTACAGAGAAAAGAACTCTCTGTGTATAGTATATATTTGTATTCTGTTCCAAGGCATAGAATAAATGCCAGCACTATTTAGTAATAGATTTGATGGTCTATTCTTGCACTAATTAATGAAGAACCCCCACTCCAATAAATAAAAGAGTACCCCAGAGGACAACATGGGGCAACAGCTTACTGTAGCCAGTTTCCCCTCTAGAGGTAGGACTTTTAAGATTGTAACAGAGTTTTTTGGTTTCCGTGTAGTGTTTGGTGAATAACTGCGTTGCTGCTCAAATAGTTTTGTAATGCAGTCCTTAGGTTATCGTTGCTAAGAAAGGAGATATCTCTGCACCATCAGGGATTTTGCAGCTGATGCTGCAGATACAGCGGCTAAGCTGCTGGGGAAGATTTGAGCAGCATATACTCCACCACGTCTAGTTTTGGCCAGTGTTTGCTGTTGTTATTTATGGACTGTTTTATCTAGGTATGCTTACTACACTGTTAAAACATGGGATGACAAATTAGTTTTCTTTCTTTGCTCTTGCTCCTACTTCTCCTATCCCACCAAATAAAGCATGTGAATTCAAGGGGGTTTTTTGGTAACTTTAGTAACTTACTGGGCAGCAATCTTGATGAACTTTTTGACTAGCTGTACACGTTTGCAGAGCTGGCTGCAGAGGAGTATCTCGGTGGCAACCCAAAGCTGGACCTCGTTGCACCTTTGAAGCAGAAGGCTGAGATTCTCAGTGTTTTCAGCACTGCCCTGTCTGCTGAACGTGAAGTATATCAGCTCTTGCTGGAAGACAGTGACAACATTAATAGGGATATAAAAACAATTTAAATGTAAGTTAATTATAAATTATTTAGAAGTATGTTTTTGAAACAAGACTTGGTTACAGATGGTTATTTTTTCGTTATCCATGAGCCAATCACAAATGATTCAGGGTCCAAGTTTGGCTTAGCAAAGTCTAAAGGCTTATTACAGTAGGCAGGTGGATTGGAAGTCCTGCAAGATGTGCTTTTCTTGTGAGATTTCCTGCAGTTCCATTTCTGGCTACAGCCAGGTATAGGACACAAACAATCTGTCTCTTTCTGTATTTCATCACTTCTGTTCCAGTATGAAAAAGCAACCATATCAGACCATTGCAGAATCTGAAAAATTTCCATTCAAACTTCTTCCTAAAAAGAGCCAAGTTTTCAGGAACAGAGGTGTGGGTATTGATTTCTGTGCAAAAAAACCACAACTTGACCAGCTCTAGATTTAAAGTGCCTAACCTGAATAAAAGAACCTGAAACGAAAGATCAAGTAAAGCATCTGATGAGAAGCAAGGGAATTTCCCATTCATTTTCTCAGAAAGTCACCATGCTTTTCAGTGAATGATATTTTCAAGTGACATTTTGTACTGTTAACTGTGTATTTTACTCAGCAGCTCACAGGAGAACCTATCAAAGTCACTGAAACAACCCAATGGGCACTGAAGTGGGCCGTTATCCCATTTTATAAAGTCTGCCCAGTATTTTTTATCTCACTGAAGCCTAACAAGAACAGTAATGTGACCATCTAAATTGCTGAAATTGTGAATTCTATTGTGGTTAACGTGCTATCAAGGACACCTATTTCTGGAGTCCTATATCTAGCGGAACATTATCAAGTGCAAAGGACAATCTGCATATATAACATTCACACAGACAGTTTTTAGAGAATAAACATGCTCTTTTACTCTCTTGAGGCAAAAGTCAATAAAACCCACCAGGTATACAGGGAACATACGAGATGCCCTGGCAAAGGGAAGTTACAAACCTTTAACAATTTTTTTCAGTATCAAGGATTACAACACATCTCTTGGACCTGATTCAATGTCACCACTACTAAGAACTGCCAAATCATACTGTCATGACAGTGAACTGAGCACCAAGGAATACTGATGCTCCAAAATGCTGGTGCAACGTCAGGAAATCATAATGGCTCAATGCTACATGAGAGTAATATACCTGGAAATGGACATGGTGCTTCTTACCTCATGAATTGCATTGAAGAGGCTCCAGTCAAAGTTTGTTAGTTCTAAGGCAAGATCCCAGGTGTTGATTCCCAAAATTCTCACAGACCTTTGCTGCAATTCCTCATTTTCAGCAAATGGGTTCTAAATCAATAGCCAAGAGCAAAAAAATCCTGAGCAAATGCCAAAAGTTCTGCAATGAAACAGCTACTGGACCAAGGTACAAAACAGAGCTGAGTAAGTAATCTTCTCTAAGTGCACTCTGAGAGTTTTCCCCCCCACTAATCAAAATCAAGGCGTTATAGCCTATTTAATAAATAGCTTGAAAAAGGAAATGGGTCAATAGGATCAATGACTTCCTATTGGATTAGGCCTCTCCCTCTGTCTCTCTTTCTCTAAACCTTGAGTATAAAACACTGACCAAGCAGACAGCATAATGAAAATAAAATCCCTGAAGCCATCAGAAAATAAAATCTGAATTAAGACACCAGGAAATTTTTGTATTATAAGATAAAGGAATCATTCTGCAAGCACACCGGATTTAGAATAAATGCACACAACTTGCCCACCAATTCACCTTTACAAATAACATAAATCCATTCATTTTATGATTAATTTACTCCAAATGTAATCACCAACAAACTGTAAAACACTGTGGGTCCTGATTCATAAAAGTTACTTAGGATATTACTGTGGAGTGCACTGGTACTGCTAGTATTAAGGGTCATTTGACATTTCCATTATTAGCTTGGATTTTCAAAGGTTTGCATTTCTCTTGGGTTTTTTTACCTCATCAGGCTGAAACTTGGCACACGAACCATCTGCCAAGATGAAAGATTATTCTTATCTGTTAAGCCATTACTTTGGTGCTATATTTCTGACAGTTACAGCAAGTTTTGCAATTTTTATTATGTAACTAATGAAACTAGATTGGCTGTCACCTGTCTGCACTGGAAACCTTCCCTTAATATTAGCATTTTTAGAGGTGGCTAGAACTCCGGAGATAATGGGGATGACAGATTACAATGATAGCGGCATGTCAGCTCTTCGGGGCACATTGATCCAACAAAATGTAAATAGACATTTCTCATCCCCAGGATGAATGCACAGATCCTAGTGGTACTGACAACACATAAAAGTCAGTTGCGATACCGTCCCTGCGCTTTCCTTGAAACAGCTGCGTGATTAGCAGAAAACTACTGAAAGATTAATTTTTTGAGTGCCTGACTGTTTTTTTGATTAATTGAGTGCCTGATTAATTTTTTGAGTGCCTCACTAAGGTTTTGGGAAATCATGGGGGGAGAGAGAGTTTGCAATCCCGGTTTCTGAGGACAGCGGGAATGAGAGACATGCTGCCCTTCGACCCGCTCCCCTCCCCAGCACCAGCGAGAGGATGGAGAGACAGACAGACGGAAGGAAGAGAAGAAGAGATACCACCAGCGATATATGCCAGCCACAGACTGACCATGTGGCTGCCACAACACTGGGGTCACACTTTTGCCCAGTAATTTTGGTAGAACTCACATGACATCTATTTCTACATGTAGTAATTCCACGGTTTGTCCATCACCTTGTATGATTATGTACCAGCCACTTTAAGTGTTACAGAGGCACAAGCGTGGGGGGGGAAGTCACACAGGCCCTGAATAACCCTTATCCCATCCAGTCCTGTACAAGCACAAGTCAGCTTTTCCGGGCTGAAGTAGACTGAAAGATTTAAGCTGTACAGAAGCTTTGGTCTATTTGAAACTGATGAACAAATTCCATTACTGTTCAGTCAAATAACAGCTGTTAATGCAAGATACCTTTTTTCAGGTATAGAGCAGCTCAGTAAGCTTTACTAAGGAAGCAAAAAAAAAATTCTGTATTGAGAAAGCCCTCTGAGAGGAATAGTAAGCTCTTGATGTGGAGTCAGACAAATGAAAAATGGGAAGTATACAACACACATCCTTACCAAAGAATCAGTCAGATCTTTTCGGTAGACAAACATACGACTGGATGACTCAAAAGATTTTGAGATAGCCAAGTCATTTGGTTGTAGTTCATGTTTTTCTGTAAAAACAGAAAACAAAACACAGAACCTTCAGAAAAGGAGTAAAAGCTGTATATAAATGAGAAAAACATTACAAATATATTTGTAAAGCCACATCAATTTAGAATTTAACTAAGCCTCAAACTCAGACCTGTGTATATACCAAGCATGGGACTGTCATCTCCACATTATTCAGGCACAATAAAGGCAAGATGTCTCTGATGCTGGACTAGAGCACAGAAGCTTCCAGCATCTGCTTTCAACTTGGACTTCACATAGGATAGAACAGAAAGAAACCCTTGAATCATCTAGTCTAACCTCCTAGGCATTACAGAACATTTCATTTCAATCCAGTGTATCTACTGTAAATGCGGTGACTTTTGTTAGAGCAAAGTGTCTCGGCCTCCAGAGACTGAGCTGCTGCGTGTCACTGGCAGACAAGAGCAGGGGTGGAGATGTCATCAGTAGCCATGGCCATTCAACAGGAAAAGAAGTTTAAAGGATCACAATGCCATGAAATTCACCCCATGGAGCAGAGCTGAAGAGTCCTTGATAGTACGGTATGTACAGAAATTCTTCCAGATCTAGAGTAATTCATTTAGGAAACATTTGAGTAAGAGAGCAGGACACACCAAACTGGTAGCAAAGAGAAAGGAACTTTTTTTTCTTCCCTCCACTCCAGAGAACTGGTTCAGCTCTGGGCATTCTTGGATGCACCAGAGAAAGGTGTGGGGAAAAATAAAGCAAAACCCAGAACACAGCTAAAAAACTGCCCTGGGAAAACTGTCTCTTCCTGCGGGCTCCAAGTAATCTTCTGGAGACCTGACACATGAGATTTGATTACAGTGACTGTATTAATGTAGACCCAAAAGCACTACAAGCATGTTGAGAGCTACCTTGGACTTTTCATTGCCCATGAGGGAGGAGTAGGACCAGGAGGAGTCTGAGCGCCAAACACCATTTCAAACTGTTTTCCCTCTTATCCATGCTCACACTGACACCAGATACATTTATGTTGAACTACCAGTATGTTTTTTCTACATAATTTTGAATAAAAAGAGCTTGCTCATTCATTTCAGTACAATAGAAACACGTTCTCCAATGCTCATAATGCTGCCCTCCAAGTGGATGGCAGATGACAGTTCTGAGTCATGCAAATAGCAAAAAAACAAAGAAAAAAGAAAGCATGGCAGGCTGGCATTTATTGCTCACAGCAGAGGCGTGCCAATGCATAAAAACAAGGATACTGAAATTGTGGTATCTCCAATTAATTCAGGCAATGTGACTAAATAACATTTTGGGGGTTACAATGGTCATGTACAAATGACAGTCCTATTGTACCTGCATTTTAATTATTGTTTCTTACTAAAGAGCCAAGTGGCCACCACTGCTGTTCTGTGGCTTTCTCGGGAACTAATGTGGTCTAGAGGTAATAGTGTGTTTCATTATTTATGAATTGTTGGTTTTCTTTAGCTAAGTAGGCAGTTAGCACCAGATTTATCGCTATCAATCAGAGCAGAACTTGCCCTGCTCTTGAACAGGAGCACAAGACCTGAAAAACAGCAGCAGCACAGTGATCTTGCAGTGCTGCAAAATGCATTGGAGGCAAGTCTGGGCACACACAAGGGTAAAAGGAGTGTGCCTGCAAATGATGTAACCCAGCTGGCCAGGACGCCTACATGCAATGCTCCCGCGTGGCCACTCCGTGCCCAGGCTCTCGACAGCCGGAGCAGGGCACCATCTCCCTGCCACCCACACCGGTGCCCTGCAGAAAAACGGTTGTTTAACTGAGCTCGGCGTGGGGGAGAAAAATGTAACCTTCCACTTCCGAATCAAATAAACAAACAGAACAAGCCAGCATTTGTCTGTATTTCATTTAACTAGACTGACAAAGAAGTAAGAATGAGTGCCATATCTTTAAGGGTGCACCCTTTGTCCCAGGGGATCAACACCAACTAACGTTATCTGAGAATATGGCCAAGATATTCTAAACTCTCAGACCTTTTTTTGTAGATCCAGCTTGGCATTTCTATGCACCTAGTTAAATTGCTTCCTTTATATTCCCTAAGAGCCAAAAGACACCACAATGAGCAAAACAATCTGACTGAAGACCTCGAGACCTGACAGACACCAAAGCAAATCTTGGGGGCTTGGCTGGTCCCTATTATCAGCCCATGATCAGTCTGGTCTTCCTTAAAAAAGACAATAAGCCTTTCTGTTCAATGAGAAACACTAAAATAATAAGCAAAAAATGTCAGTTGTAAGCAAGACTGCTTACAAAATATTGCTTAGATTGCTCTCAGTATCTCAACTGTGCAAATACATGTCTCCCTCCTTTCTGCTGGAGCATATTCATTACCCATGCCGTAAACAAGGAAACAGCCATGCATACAGCATTTGTTATGCCCTTTTATATTTCTAAAGCAAACCATGCCTCATCACCTTCCAAATTAATTTAAGTGCAAAAGTAGGAGATTTATCTGTGGGGAAAAAATAAAATCTTGCAGTACTGCTGGAGACTGAGAGTCCTTTGCACTCCCTTCCCAGCGAGGAGATGCCGTATCTGACGGTACCCAAGAATGAGCTGTTGCCATGGAAACGACTCTCTGGAAAGCAGCTCGTCATTGTTCCTGTGGTCATCCAGCTGTGGGCCTGCACAGGAACAGCTGTATCCTTGCACCAGAAAATGTCAGCCCTCCCTTACATGATGCACTAAAAGGTAAGTAATCAGATGAAGGGAAGTTATTTACCGCCCGAGAACGTGACTGTCACCAGCGCCAACTCCTCCTCCGGGTACTGGATCTTTTCTGCTACAATCTTCAGTATCTCCTGCGCTGAAGTGGATACTTGAGCTTTCACACTGACATAGGAGTGCTCTGTTATATACACACGGCAGAAAACTGCACAAAGGAAGAAAGACACACTCAGCAGTAGGCAGAGGCACCTGAATAGAGCAGGGGAGAATCTTGCAGACCCAACCATGGCAATGCCTCAGCTGCCTGGCTGCTGCGGCTGCAGGAACGGTGGCTGCTGTACCCTGACCTACAAGGACATGAAACTAAGCATAAACGTCACCATTTTCCCCCTTCCCACCTCCTCTCTCTGGGAAATGAGAGGGCTAAGCAAATGGAAACAGACACCCCCACAGCTGCGTTTCAGCAATACCTATTTAAGACTTCCTACTATGAGGATTTGTCACAACCTTCCCTACTGCCTATCATCTTTGCAAACTCAGCTGTTGCCATCTTTTCTCCCTTCCTTTTAGGTTCAGATAAATCACCGTCCTTTCAGTATATTTCATATCCGCTGCAGAAATGATTTTGGACCTCCACTTCCACCTGGAACAAGAGGCTTCGCAAGAACAGCACTCCATGCTCTTCAACCACTCCCACTAGCTTATCTGTCTAGACATCTAAACTACTTGCATTGCCAGGGTATTTTAGCACCAGCAGAGGCTGCCTGAACAGCAATGCAATTAGTTCTGACAACTCTTTCCCTGAATCACTTGCAGCACACATAAAAGGGACTGGTTTGGAGAAATTCCATGGGCTCATCACTTCCACTGAAATCCACGAGTTGGTTAGGCTCTGAGAGGGAGATTCCCAGCAGCAATGCTGTGGTCAGCTCAGCTAGTACTTTGTTTCTGCTACAAAAAGGGATGTATGCTCCCTCTGCTTGCCAGAACTTTAGGTTAACATCCTTTGCTGAGTTTGCTGCAGCCAGTTCTTTGAAAAACAGCTGCCATACTTAAAAGGGAAGAAACAGAGCTGCAGACTTGCATAAATATTTCAAAAATTACAACATCTGCTAATAAGAACTGCCACAACTCTTGGTTTCATACTCACTTCAGTGCTTAATTAAACTTTCCATTTCCTTCTATTCCAGTACTTCTTATTGCGGACAGGATGCTACCATGTCAGTATAAGACAAAACTTTTCTTCTCCAGAAATGCTGTATTTTTTAAATTATTTTTATTGACAGATGTATGTAGCAATAGCTCTTTGCTTGTCCTACAAATCTTCATGGCTTCAGGGCACTTTCATTAACCGAGACCATGCCAGATGCGGTTAAGAACTCTATCCTCGTGAATATCTTTTTTGTGTGTTGTAGTAAAGAAAAAATGAAGATGAGAAAGAAGGAGGAACTTAGCATTTACCCTTGGAGAAGAAAAGTAATTTGATTTTATAATTTTTTCTTAACCTGTCTCTGCTGACAGACAGTAAATCAGATGCTCATCCTATGGCAGAATCTCTCTTCAGAATGGATATAACTCATGAAAAGATAGAGACATCAAATTGCACTCTAAATTACTAGGTAGAAAAATAAATTTTGAAAAATCTGACAGGAATATTTGGACTCCATATGTAGAGTGCAACACAACTTGCCTACAGTGAATTTGTTTGAAATCTCCTCCTCTCTGTCATTCGGGAGGGGAAGATGACAGCAATATGTTAATTTATAACTGGGCTATCGACATATCCTTTGTTTAACATTGAACTAAACCAACCTACAGGTCAGGTCCTCAAGCACAACCATCATACCGATTATCCAAAGCCTGTTCCCCCGCGTACCTTTCAAATGTTAGAAAAATAAATTTTGAAAAATCTGACAGAAATATTTGGACTCCATGTCATCTCTTCCTGGAGCCTGTGCTGCTCCTCTGTGAGATGCAGGAGGGAATGCCAGTGGGAGGAAGCAGCCATAGGCTGCAAGTCACCCTGATAACGCTTACATTAGGAGAGAAAATGCCTCCAGTCAAGTGTCATGGTTTGACTTGGACAAACCCATCCTCCACAAGCGCCATTGGTCAGCAGCACTCCACCACACCGACTTAGATGTCCACCCCCAGCACCTGTCTTTCCTCTCCCCAACTCCACTTTTGCTATTTCATTCCCTCAACCCCATCACTTTCTGTAGCTCATGCTCTCAAGGAGAGAGGTGAAAGCAGTTTAACCCAGTCAGGGCTGGCCTTGCTGGCTCCTGCCCTTCTTGTCCCCACAGCCACGCAGCCTGTCCCCTCTCTGGTGCCAGTACACTTCCCTCCCCACTCACCCACGAGCTGTGTCAGGCTTTTTACGAAGAAGAATGAGTTTGGGGGTTCTTATCCAGAAATAACATTTTTAGAAGCAGCCTTAATAACACAAACCTCAAATAAACCTGTATTTGAAGCACGGAAAGAGGATATCTATCAGCAGCACGTATTGTGTGGAAAGACTTGGCATTGAAGGAGCTCAGTTTTTATTCTGTCACAAATGAGCACTAAAAATATCCTGACTCCAAGTGAACTTCCGGAGATTTGTTCCCAGTGAGAAATGAAGATATATCATCCAAGGGCGAGACTTCCAGGTAGGAGGTCCTTCTGCCTGTTCTCTGCTTGTGTACACGGCGTTATCCTCCTCTCTGCCTCCTTCCTTGCACAGGCATTATGGGATGGCAACAGCCTCACTGCGTTATTGCATTAGTAGTGAGGAAACGAAATTGCACTTTGAAATGGTTGACATTAAAGCAAAGTGGCACCTGGCACTCCACACGGAGACGTTTTCAAGGAGAGACGGAACTAAGGCAGGTTCCCAGAGTTAGCAGATCCTCGCCTATTTCATGTGACAGGCTTATTCATTCACCTTTTGCAACCAAGATCTAGGTCAAGAGACCGAGAGCATGAAATAGAGCAGGAATAACGTCCGGTGAGTGGGCTGCCAGCACTCCTGGGAGACACACAGCTCTGCTACAGGGCTGCTGGAGGAACCGAACAGGGGGGGAAAAGCCCTTGAGATGTCGTGTCACTGTTGAACGCCTGCAAAGTAGGTAACCTTACACAGTCAAATCTTTCTTCTTTTGTGGCCCTAAGGTCCTGTTCAGAAGCTGTATGTCAGTTAAAAAAATCTACATTATGGGCAGCCCTTGAGAAACAATTTTGCAGTTTTGGAGTTTTTCCTCCACTCTTTCAATCATACTTACTTTCTTCTGTTTCATTCATGGTTCCTCTGTGCTGCAGCCAGTTCTCCTTTAGACTGAACTGGTGGAAAAAGGTTTTATTCTGTGAAGGGGGGGGTGGGGAGCGGAAAAAGAAAAAGAGACAACAGTGACTCTTTGCATCCCTGCCCTTTACAAAGCAGTAATTCACAGAACACAGCATTCAGCCCATACACCTGGCCAAAAAGGTTTCTGTATAGGAAATCCACCCACCCTTTCTTGGATCAGTAAACTGGGAGTTGCCTTACCAAATAATGACCAAGGTGGGGATTTTGGAGGAAGCGGGACATGCCTAAGCTAAGCAGCCCACACAATTCAAGGTTCTCTGTAGCCGTGTTCAGAGCCCATTTCTTATACACCTATTCTTATATATGTTTCCTATGTACCCATCAGCCTATTTCGCAGTTTCACTACAATCTCATGTTCTGCCTTCCACATTTCTGCTGTAACATTTTAAGCTTATTACACACTTCAGCTTCAGCCCAGTAAATCTGACGAGCACAGTAATTCACCTCTGTGCAGTTTGTACACCAACTTTCTCCGGCTGCATCTTCTCCCTCCGGTTAAATAGACAGATTCACGTTCCTCTCTTTCTTTCTCTGTCCCTGTCACAACAAATCCCCCCTTTGCTCTGTCTACTTGACATCCATAGTCAATGCCTGTGCTCAGCCTGGTTTGCCCAGGTTGCTACATCTCTCCAGCCCAGTGGGGAGACGCTCCCAGGCCTCTCCTGAATTCTGACACCTCAGAGCATCTTGTTAAGAACGTTAATACTGTCACAGCCGCTGCAGGTTAGCTCACACAGCTGATATCCAGGCAGCACTGACAGGAAAAAAAATTCCTTAAGCAATGTTGCAGGTCTAACCTCACTGATGTATCCTGTCATGTTTTTGGCCACCAGTCACTTTCAATTGAGAAGTCAAGAAAAGAGAGGGAAGTGGGCAGAGGGGAAGAAAGTCAGATGATAAGCTATCTAGCAATCAGTAACAATCAGGTTTGCGTTACCTTTCGGTGAGGTGAATACTCATCTACAGTGCTGAAAGAAAAAGGAAAATCCAAATTATTCTTTCCAGCCAAAGATTAGGAAAAGGAAGTTTTAGCTATTACAAAGTTTACAACATCAGAAAGCTTTTAACATTAAATGGTCACTACAGAATAGCTGTAGAGCTCCTTCACGGAAAGCTAAGGGTGTCTGGCTTAACCAGGAAACTTTTCTGTGACTTATACAATTGATGTAGTGAAAAGCAATGCTGCCAGCCCGTGAGCTGCCCGAGAACACGGACACAGCTCGGGCCCCCGGGGTAAGCAGTCAGGGTCACCCTCAGGGACACAGCTCTTTCCACTTCACCAACGGCGAAGCCACAGAAACAAACTCCATTTGTTGGAAAAACATGCCAAGGAAATATCTTTTACAAATACCATAATTATTATTAAAATAATAACCCTGAGACAACTATTGCAAAAGAGATTTGCTTCTCAGTACTGCAGATTGCAGAGAGAGAGTGAGAATGAATATATCACCTGAAGTCACAGACTGCAGTTTCTGAGGGAAATTTTGCCAGCTTTTCCACAAAGTATCACTCTACTTGCAAGTCATCCCAACCAAAATTGATGGGAGTGACTGTTGAACCACACACATCACCCAACAAACATCAGAGAAAACTGAATAATCTACCTTTAGTTTAAAGAAGAGATGATTTGTAAAAATGAATATAGTACTTGTATCACTCACCACTTTCTCTTTACTGAATTACAGCAAGATGACAACAAAAATAAATTACACTCTAAATAAAAGGAGACTTCATCACAAATATAATCAATACTTACTGACGACGATGCATCCCAAGTATCTTCTGAAATTCTTTCAGTTCCTTCTCAAGAATGGGATATTCATACACATCATCTAACACATTCCTGTATATCGTCTACAAAATAAAACAGTATCTGCAAACATCTGATAACTCAAACATAAATCTAAGGCATCACATCAGCCGTCTAAATCAATTCAGGCACTAGCCTACTGAAACAAATTTCATCATTATATTTATGCAAGACCCACAAGAAGAGAGTGTTCCTGTTTAAATTTCGAGACTGGTCAATATTCAGCTTGCCTTTGGAGAAACACTCTTTGTATCATTGCCAAGCAAGAGGGCAAAATGTTGACACTCATTAGTCTGCAAACAGGAAGATTTAAAACGGCACTTGTGGCTGTTACGTGAAATCTGGATTAGGTCAGAAGAACACATTCTGAAGCATCAGAACATACCACACCATCATCACTTATCCAAAATGGTAACAAACAGGTTCATTTGATTAAGACTTTTAAAATGGAGAATGTTATCCTTTGCTTTTCCTGTTTGCATGCATTTTAAATTGAATTGAAGTCTCTCACAAACAAACAACAACATACTCCTAGTTGTAAACCAATAAATAAATAAACTCTACCTCGTATTTTTGGGGGAGGCATTGTCTGAATATCATCAATCAGGAACCTCAGTTAAATGTAAAAGGCACTGCCTCAGATAAGAGGTAAATAAATTGAATCAGCTTTCATGACTGAAATTGTAGGAAATATTTTCTCTATACTTTTTCAGAATCTGCATATAGATCCTTCTCTTTCCCTTCCAAGAAAATGAGGATCATATGTATAAGCTGAGTCATCAGGTTTGCTTTAGCCCAATTAACACTCCTACATTCATAAATCTCAGCACAAATTATTCTGGATTAGAATCCTATATATTGTGCCTGCACGTATAACTTCAACCATCGTTAACATTACTGCTGTTTAATATTGCACAGGAACCTCAAGCAGAGAAATTGTGTGGCAATAGAGAGTCACACACCTCCATGGCCAGAAAGACAGGCCCTGCGTCAAGACAGGTGCAACGCACCTAACTGATGGCTGGAATGATGCCCCCTTTCCAGTACAGCACTACACACCTACTATCAAACAGCAAAAATCCTAAGGTCTCTGCATCCATATGCAGTGTGTCTTACTCCAAAAACAAAACAAACAAACAAAAAAAGGAAGCTCAGAACTTTCTCCAGATTTAGTTCAATGTTTCATCCCTTTGTCTTGAGCAAATGACTGAAGAGAGCAAAAAGGCCCTTAAGAAGATCTCCAGTTGCAGACAAAGGGTCTGTCATCAGAAAAGGTGAAAGATCCAGCAAAGTCTCCTGAAATACTTTCATCTTTCAACCAGCAGTGGGGGGAAATCAACAACCAGATGGATCTCGGGTCAGCGAGAACATGGCTATTTGCAAATTTACAAGGGAATTATAAAAGCTTTTGGAACTCATTCAGAAAGATCAGAAGATCCTTGCTAATAAGTAAGGACATACTTTTATTTATCAAAAATACATAAAGCTGTGCTGCTCTCCACGTGCACCTGACAAACGCTGTGGAATAGCATTTCATTCCTCCAAGTAGCATCTCTTACAAGGACAACAAAACTCTCTCTTCGCCCGTGATCCTCTGGATACCGACTGTAGACCCTGTTCTGGCAGACATGACCAGTGTGTCCAAGGAACCTCCAAGTCTTTGCAGGTTTCTTACCTTCCTAAATTTTCTCATTTTCTAGAGAGCATGGAGTTCTGCAAGTTTCATATCTGAAAGTAATGTTTTTGACTTTGAATGTACTGACATTACAGATTTTCTGTTCAAACTGACTATCTCTAAGGCATTCAAGGAAGACACATGTAAATCACTTTGTATTGTAGATTTCATGGAGAAAATTTAAGTATGAAAAATTATGCTTTCTAGATTTTGCTGTTGGGGCTTTTTAGACACAGTGTGTTAATTAAACAGTGCTGAAATGCATCAGAAAGTGTTTCAATACCTTTAAAAATTGTTTTAAATGCTCATCTTCGTGTAACCAGTCTTTGTAGAGAGAAGTCCACTGAGACACCAAATGCAAGACTTTTCGTTTCCTGCAGGACACATCAGAGTCGTCTTCTTTCCCTTGGTGGTTCTTAGCACAATAGGTACAGTAGGTTAAGGAACAAATAATAAGGTCTCACTGAAACTTAAAAATTAAGTGATGGAAAAGACTTTGCAATCATCTCATTTGCTAATGGAAGATTTTTTCACTACATTTCTCAGTTTTAAATGTTTTATCCTGTCTGAAGCTTTAGGATTTTCATCAACTTTCTGGAATGAAATTCTCAGTAATAGAAATGTCAGTTCATCCTCTGCGCCAACAGGATTTTTTTCCCTTTATAGATTAGAAAGGCGAGTCTATAAAAATAAAATCAATTCAAAAGGAATTACACAATGTTGAGTCATATATTTTCTGCAGAACTGGGAACGAACCTTTGTCCTGCACACCGATGCCAACGTGAATGTCTGTGGGAAGGAGGACAATGCATCATTAACAACAACAAAAAACCCAGGCAGAGGAAGTCAGTTTCTTTTTTCCTGCACAAATTACACTATCTGCAGAAATAACACTATTAAAATTAAAAAAAAAAAGTGAAAGAATCTATTTCCACCTTTGTTCTCTATTCACAAAGCAGAAACACCACATGACAGAAGATACCCACTTTTTACATTTTTCCTGTCCCTTTGCTATTCTTTCTTTTATTAGGTGAAAAGATGATGTTTTCACCACAAAAGGTAAAGAAGAAAAAAAGAAAAGAAAAAAAGAGAAAAGCAAGTTCATTTTATAGCTACAAGTTCATTCAAGCAATACTCCATAGCTTATGGAAGTAATTGGAAATACAAGAAAAAATTTCTTTTATCTCAGAATGAGTTAGACTTATATACTGTATCACATGATAAAAGGAGCAGAAATTGTAAAATACTTATTCTTAATTTTTTCTCTTCACATATTCTGAAATGTATTACACAGATACAGGTATTCTAAGAATTAACATACAGGTCTGGATAGGTATTAATCCCATTTTAAGTGTTACTTTCTAACAGTTATAAAGGTTTATGTATCTTTAAACAAAAACAGCAGACATAAGATTGCATTGCTGCTATGAGTTAGGCATCTGCTTCAATAGATCTTTCAAGCATTCTTGTGAACTAAGTATGCACATACACAAATTAGTATGTTCTGGATACAGGTTTATTCAGAGGCAGCTTTAGCTTTATACATTCAACTTCAGAGCAGGAATTTTCTGTTTATTGATTCCTCAGCTATGCAAATTCTAAATGTTTTAATAGGTGAATGTATATATCTCTCTTTCTCTCTATTTACAGCCACGTGCCAATTAGAGGAGCTCATATCCAAATTTGGATTTAATGTTTCCAGTTTGAATCTTTTCCTCCACAACCCATTTGAGTTAAGTAAACAATATAACCTGAACTCTGGGAAGCTACAGAATTAAATTGAATTCCAAGTATCATAAGACCTTATGAAAACACGACTGGGGAAGAAGAGACCTTGAAAGATCAGCTAAACTAGTCCATCCAAGTCCACCCTAAATAGTCCACCCTAAGAGAGGCTCAAGTATACCCTATGTTATCCTTGGAATCTATTTTCTAGTTTCTTCTTCCTAATAGTCTCCAATATCAAAGATTCTACTGTCTCACCCATTTTCTACTCCAGTATTTCTTTTCTTAATGTAAAAAAAAATATTTCCTAGTATCTAACATGGAACTGTCTTACAGCAATTTAATCTCATTGCAATTTAATCTCAATTTAATCTTCTTGTCCCGTCTGGCATCGATACGGGAACAGCTTCTTCCCTTCCTCTTTAGGTACCTGAAAGATTGTCCTTTTTATAGTTTCCCTTTTTTCAGTAAAATAATCTTCTTCCCTTCCTCTTTAGGTACCTGAAAGACTGTCCTTTTTATAGTTTCCCCTTTTTCAGTAAAACAATCCCAATTTTTTCAATCCTTCTAGAAAAAAAGGCCTACAAAGAACATTGATAATTCCCATTGCTCTCTTCTGAAGTTTCTCCTATTTGTTCACATATTTCTTGGGGTGTGATGCCAAAATCCCAGGTGCAGTCCACCTTCTAAGCATGCCATAGCAAGTATTAGACAATTGTTCTCTTTTCTCACCAATCTTGCATGCAACCTCAAAATAATCATGCAGGGTTGTATTTCAATAATATCAATATGCAAAGAGTAAAACTAATTATCCCAGGCATGCAATTTACTACGTTTGATATAAGGCTTGACAATATATAAACCTAGGTGTAACTGGGTTTCCCCTGTTAATACAACACTTAATAAAAGGATATTGCCTCAGAAGTGCCTGGCACAAGTCATCAGTCGTCATGAAGACTGTGTACGTGAGAAGGAAGTCATCCAGGAGAGTTTCTGCAGAGGAAGACAAAAAAGCCCAACAATACATTATTGAGAGGAGGAAGAGAGTGTCCACTCCTGTTAGTGTGCATGGCAGGAACAGGATGCTCTCCCCCCCCAAAAAAAAAGGTCCAAAGCATACAGAATACATCAAACTAAGTTTCAAAGAGTAACAATATGTCGCCACTGCAGAGATCAGATCCTTTATTTAACAAGCACATCCTCAGTTCTCAAAGAACCTACAAGCATGAATACGCACAAAATATGCCACAGTTCAGGAACCAGTAAGGAAGAGTCTTTATCATGAACACCACCATCCTGGTTGGCTCTGCTGCATGCAAAGCAACCTTTCCACCACCTAAGTTGCTCTGGAAATTCAGAAGAAAAGCTTTTAGCATTAGGAGAGATAAAACTGTGATTGCCACGTACTGTGATTAACATCTACGCACAGTAGTTGAGAACCATGAAATAAATATATTCAAATCTTTAGCTGGTTAGTCTTGTGGCCATCACTTAAGTGCTGAGAAGTTTTCTCTAAGGTTTACTTAATTACATGATGGAAGTTTTTTTTCACCACCTAGTTTCTATCAGTATTATGAAAATGGGCTGAAGGTACTTGCTGACAGACCATCTCTACCCACTGCAGTCGTAGCACCTCAGGTTGTCAGGATGAACAGCACTGCCAGTTCGGATCTCAGTGTAACATTCTCATTCCTCATTCCCATGACACGCTAGTTTTAGGATTTTTCTAAATCTTTACCAAACGCAGCAGGGAGGATGAAAGGACTGGGTTTGCTCTAGGATGAGAGGGCTCAGGTGTAATCTTGTGGTGGTCTTCAAAAACCCAGTGGCACAACAGAGATAAAATAGAGCCAGACTCTTCCTGGAGGTGTGCAGCAAAATGACAAGGGGCAACGATCAGAGATTGCAAGAAAGGAGAATTTGTCTAGATAGAAGGGATTTCTTTTTTTCTCTCCTGTGAGGAGGGTCAGCCACTGGCACAGGCTGCCTAGACAGACTGCAGAATCTCCAACGTCAGGTATATTCAGGGCTTGCCTGGGCAAAGCTCTGAGCATCCTCGTCTTCCTGGACCTGCTTCAAGCAGGGCTTGGACCAGATGCCTTCACAGATCCCTTCCAATTATTCTACAGTTCTTACACAAATTTGCTTCCAATTCTAGTAAATTACTCCTGTATGATGTGTGATCTAGGAATGAATTTGTATTTGGTTCACAAACAACAAAATCTTTAGTTTTCTGCAAAGCGACAAGAGAATTATATTGGTCTTTTTAACTCCAAAATAAAAATGTTTGTGTTTGGTTTTTTGGTTTTGTTTTTTCTTCCCCAAATGGTAAGATTTTCCTCAAGTTTTGAGGAGTTCCTGTTCACCATAACTCTTTGAATTCCAGCAGATGTACTGAGTTCCCTTTAACAAGAAAACAGGTTTGCACCACCTGCTTTATCAGATGAGAACAGGAATACGGACAGAGGCTGAACGATAACAGAAGTAATATCAGGTATATTGCAGAGCAAAAAATACTTTACCAGTATAACTAGCTGCTACTAGTTAGTACCAATTATCCAGTTGTGATTTAAGTGGTGGATTTACAACTGTAAAGACTAAGGGCCAAACCATACCTCACATGAAAAAGATAAGGCTGAGCCCTGATTTCCTTATCCTGATTTTCTCACTATTTGTTCGTGACCTGTTCCAGTCCAAGCTAGTGCTTGTGTACGTGTGTGCAACTGAGAGCATCCCAGCAGCTTTTCACACCAAGGCTGCAATTTCACAATAGTTTAGATCAATTTCAGCTACAGCTGCCGTGGACCTCCGTATCAGTAAATTACTGACCCCATAGCTGCGGTGCAGGATGGCAATAAGAATTTATTCGTATATCATTCAAAGCCAGATATCATGTGGATATCACATGGATGGATAGCTAACGACATCCCACCCTGTGAGCATGGGATTCAAAATACCTCCATTGTCTTTAAAAAAAAAAAAAAAAAAAAATCTAGCTAGATCAATGCATTTTACACAGCTGGTCTAGAAAGAGTCCTGATCTGAAGACACATAGCTGAAACCCCTTGCATTCAGAAACAAAACAACTAAATTCTTTATATTTCACCAACATTGTTCAAAACGGTGGAAAGTATTATCTCTGTATAAAAAGAATATTTTGTCTCAGTAAATGGAAAGACATTGTGAACAGCTTGTTCTCTATCTGAAAGGTCATCTATTCATTCTGTGGCACATCTTTTGGACGATACAATGCAGCTATTAAAGTTGGAGGTTTCACAAACATTTATTTGGAAACTGCTGTTCTTGGAGTCACCAACCACATTTTAGTTCTTGACTAAACTATGTGACTGTGCAGTGATCCTCAAGAAATCAAACGTACGCTTACAACAAATTATTTCCCCAACTTTCTACTCTGTATAGGTGATACCCAAGTTTCACCAACATACAGCCATGTGTTCAGAAAAGAAATTAAGTACTAGCTGAAGCAAAACAGGAATGCTTATCAATGAACTCCTGCAATTGTTCAAAATAGCGTGATTTTATCTAACGGGTGTTAAAATACCAATTTAAGAGTTTATTTTTAATACCTGATCATCTGTTTTACAGATGTCTTTCTGCAATTCTTCCAACATCCCAAAGTGCTGGAGTGGGAAGAAAGGCTGGTTTTGCTATGATTTGAGGTTTTTACTTTTTTGCTTAAACTTTTTGCAAGAACTATGCTACAGATATTACTAATGCAATTCTCTCAAAAAACTTAATGAAGGGAAGACGAAAATCATATGTTCGTTCAGATAACTTACAACTGTTTTTAAGCTCTCTGTTTATCTCCCTCTCTCTGTGTGCTCAATCATACATCTTATCTATTCAGTCTCTGGCTTCTAACAGCCTTCTCAAAACAAGGTATATATCACTCAGCCGACTTAAAGTTGCACGTATGTATACAGAGTGATTTCCTTTTTCTTCTAAATGCAGAGGAAATGCTAAGAAGAAGAAGAAGAAGAAGAAGAAAAGTTCACAAATTATGATTCCCATAGCTTGTATATAGGCTAGATCTCTTCAAATTGCCTCAGAACTTGTTTGGAAATTTAAACCCTAAAGGAATGTTTTGAACAAAAAAAGTCTGGATTCTACATGTGGTCCTTTAATAGCATCACTCATCCGTTAAATTACTTTAAAGAAGAAGAAGAAGAAGAAGAAGAAAAGTTCACAAATTATGATTCCCATAGCTTGTATATAGGCTAGATCTCTTCAAATTGCCTCAGAACTTGTTTGGAAATTTAAACCCTAAAGGAATGTTTTGAACAAAAAAAGTCTGGATTCTACATGTGGTCCTTTAATAGCATCACTCATCCGTTAAATTACTTTAACAAGTAAGCAATGAAAGTGCTTTTGCTAGATTAAATATCTATTACCAGACGTCACCTAAAGACTTTACAATAATATTCGTATTTTAAAATGCCTGCACTAGCTTGTAGGTATTTCCCTGAAGTCCTACTGTTCACTGTAACTATCTTCCATATTTTCTTCCTAAATGCACTGTAATTTAAAATCATTCCAGAATGTTTTTTCATGCCATAGCAAGGACACAAAACCCGAGTGTGTACTGATTCTTCAAAAATAATTTGTTCAAAACAAACAATTGCACACTTCTCAGATACTTTTGGACATTAATACATGTCCACAAATAATGATTTGCTGGTCTTAACCTGCAAACAGAGAGAAAGGCTAACCATGAGAGAATTTATTCACAGCAAATTATTCATTCTGTTACTAATGGCCACTAAGAGCAGTAAATTTGAATGAGGAAGGGCTCTAAGTGTACCAGTTGGGCTGGTAATTATGAACAGAAGTCTTTCTGGGTTTTTTCCTGTTTAGTCACAGTTGATTTAAGAGTTTTTTAAAAAAAAAAAGGCAATTCCAGTCAAATCATTAATTATTTACAGTGCACCATACCCCCACTCAGAATTACAGTGAAATGCATACCTCTGCTTTTAAATTTTACTCTGTGTCCCAGTTTCTGCATAAATTTATGACCATCTTCTCCATTACTCCCATAGAAAAAGTTTTTCTAGTATTTGTAGCAAAGAGGGAGAATAAAATGCACAGTAATAGTTGGAAAAGAAAAACTCCCACTGGAAGGGAAGTCTTTGTGCAAAGCCTGTGATGCTATGCTATTTTGTTTTAATTTCTCTTCTGCATGAATTTTTTATTTGATCATTTTCTTCTAGCCATAAATCTAATTTTTCTTTGTTCCTCACAATTTTCCTTTATTTGGCTAAGCAATTATTACAAAGTATGCAGTTAGCTTGCAGCTATGGAATATTTCATTTCAAAGACAATTTCAAGCATTTTAAAGCTTCATTAAGACGTGCAACAGAACCAGCACGAGTTCAATGGGCTCCTGTTCTTGCAGCTCTTTGGGGGCAGCCTCAGGCAGCAATCTCACCACACCGAATGTATGTTGAGTACTGTAGGCATAAAAATAATAAAAAAGCAGGCACTGTGCTTGTTTGTTATTAAATAATCAATTCACACCAGCTTCTCCTGAGAGTATCTCACAGGCTGTGTGTACCCCCGTTTCCCCAGGTGAAATAACGCAGCGTAGACACCAACTTCACTGGGAGCAGTTAGTACCGTTCTTCCCATCTTCCTGTGATATACAAGCCCTTCTGCAAGATATACTCAGGGTGGCTGAGGGATGGCAAGATCAGTATATAGACATGGGATGTTCTGACACACATGAATTACCCAGGGAATATTTGCTTTCAGCTGGTAACTAAAGGACCCAGCAATATGTCTACAAGAGAAGTTGCAACTGTATTGCATGTATAAGGTGTTGACAGCCAATGCCAACGACGGTGTATTTGGTGGGGAAGGGGGATCTTGAGTCCCAGAGACAATAAATGGCCATATATTTGGATAAACAACACATCGTATACTCCCCCGTACTTCAAAAATTGGAGAGTTCCCTGCTGCTTTCCATGTGCC